CTTAGCCCATTATGGCGTGCCGCTCGGTGTTCGTTGGGCAGTAGAAGCATTTTGTAATGCTCCGATTGCCTTCGCGAGGTTTGGGGATCTGCCGCTCACTCCTATGTTCGAGCTCACCAGCGGCGTGCTGCAAGGCTGCGCCTTGTCTGACAGGCTCTGGGCGCTGTGCGTGGATCCGTTGCCTCGCCATCTGCAGCGGCCTTCCCCCGCGCTTGATCATGCCGCGGTGCGAGCTTGTGCAGACGACATCGGCTTGATTCTATTGTGCGCATCGCAGCTCGCCATGATTGCGGAGACTTCTAGCCTCGCTGAAATGCTCGCTGGCCTCGCGCTTCAGCCTGCCAGATGCGTAGCTGCACCGTTGCGGGCCCCGTTTCCGCCAGAGGTGCAGAGCCGCGCCCGCCGTGATCTCGAGAGGGCTTGTGACGGGTGGCACGCGTTTCAGGCGTCGGACGCGGTGAAATGCCTGGGGGGGGGGGGGGGGGGCTCGGCCCAGGAGCGACCGCAGACGTGCAGTGGAAAGCTCCGTCTGAGAAAGGGTGGGGGCGCATTCATCTGGCCAGCCCCACTCGCGATCCCCCTTTCCGCCCCTGCGCTTCTGTGCGCTTCTGCTGTCCTTCCTACGTTGAGTTATGTATCCCAGATGCTCCTGCCCATCCCGGGGCTGCTGCAGAGGGAGATTCATGGATTGCATAAGTCGCGCAGGCTCCCGCCACATGCCATGAAGCGCAAAGTTCTTTTGTCTTTGAAAGGTTGGCGCAGAGGAGGAGGGCCCGCCGCCATCTTGCCGCTCTGTTGCCACCATGTGGCGCGCGTGCATTGCGACCCTGTCGGGGTGGCGAGTGAATTTCCAGAGGTTGCGAGAGGCTGCCGAGAGTTTCGCCCCGCTTCCCTCGTTTGCAGTTCCGCACCGGTCGCCAGCTTGGTGGCGAGAGCAGAGAGCAAGTGGGCAGCGATTCGATGATAGCTGTCTGTGCAGGCCGATTCGCATTTCCAGGTCATGCACGGTTTCTGCGAGCGCGCCGCGCGCTGCTGCGCGCATGGGGCGGTCGGAGGTCGAGCGGGCGGCGGCGGAGGGGGGCGGGGAACCTAAGGTGCAGCGCGCCGTTTGTGTTGCACTGACTCTGCAGGTGTATCCCGAGCAGCTGGTTGACGCGAATCGCAAACGCTTGAGTAAATGGTATCCCGACCTTGCTATTCCTCCAGACCTCCCCTCCCGTTGGCTCTTCCTCCGCTCGCGCCTCAGCAAATGTAAACCCGCTGTGCGCTGGTGTGTCCTGAAAACTCTTAGTGGGGCGTGGACCACCCGTGATCGAATGCATGTCGTTCCAGGTTCTCGCGCTTGCCTGCTGGGATGCCCGAGCTGCGTAGACTGTGCGCAGCACTATTTAGTTTGCGACAAGTTTCTTGAGCTTTTGGCTGGCCCGCACGTGCCAATGAGTTCGGAGGTGTTAGTTCGACTGGGCTTGGGTGGCGAGGAGGGGCACGCGGGTCAGTTTTCACTCGCTCGCGTCGTTCGCTCTCTCTCCCTCGCTGTCTAATACCACGCCATGGAGGGAGAGATCGGCGCTCCCCCTGACGATTTTACTTCCGTTTCGGCTGCCGCACGATTTCGAGCAGTCGCCATTCAGCGAATGCGAGTCGGGTGAGCGACTGGGACTCTCCTCAGGGGACGTTCACTCCTCCCCCTCATCCTGTTCCACCCCACTACCGCCCTTTTATTTCAGTAGCTCCTGCTCCTCATCTTGTTCGCTCTCCTGCAGGTCTCATCATCGGACCTACGAAATGATCGCCCTCCCCTCCGTATCCGTTTCGACATCATCGCCCCTTTCGTCGCCCTCGTCCTCCAGCCCTCGCGCCCCCCTCCCGGTCCACGCCCCTTCTGCCTCCTCCTCCACCTCCTCCTCCGCTTCCTCTGACCTCAGACGTCGCGCTGTGGTTAACAGCGCGGCTCCCCGAAGGCCTGGATCACTTCCCCTGGGGCAGGCTGTTCCTCGTGAGTAGGTTCTGACGACCCCACTGCCCCGCAAGGGCCCGCGAGGTATTACAAGGCTGAATATTAGGTTTAGGGAGGGGATCTGGACCCTCCAAGACAAGCCATTTCAGACCTCCCCCGTGGGAGAACCCTCCAAAAACATCGTCCCCAGATCCCCCTTATGCCCTCCAAGATAGCTTGGAAGAGACCCCCCCCGAAATGAGACCCCCCTCCCTTTATTACGAAATCTGGAGTAGCCGTGACACCACCGCCGCCAGGGCGGCCACCTCCAGCGAGGGGTCTGCGATGCCGCCCCGTGCTGGGGACAAGGGGCGTCTCGAGCGAGAGGGGTGGGGTGGGGGGGGGCGGCACCACCAGGGGGACCCTGGCGCATCGTGCTGGTGGTCGCTGGATCTGATTCATGATTCTAAGACTGCGCCGCCCAGGGCGATGGCAATCTCAGGGATGCGCCCTCGGAAGCGGAGGTGGGCCTGATGGGCCATTGGAGAGCAGGCCCATCAGAGCCTCAAGATCGGCACCGAGACTCGGCAATGGCAGTCTTAGGGACAGGGATCCGTTTCAGGCTAGCCGCTGCTGGGCATACCTGCGGCCAGCGTTCGCTTCTCGGGGGCCTCGGGCGAGAGGCTCTCGGCCCTCGAGGAAGAGTCGTCCCTGAGATCGAACGGTGCACAAAACGTGCAGCATGGCAACAAGCCGCGCCCCGGAGCCCCAGAACACACATTTTGCTGCGCCACTCTTCGAGCAGGATCGGACTCTGGGGAGGGTCGCGGGGCCCGCAGCCGGGCGACAGCGCCGGGCGCGAAAAGATTGCTGCGCGCGGGTCTCGGGGTTCCCAAACCAATTGTAGGAGCGCGTGGTTCGCGCTTTCCTGCTACTCGCCGTGCCGTTTTTGCTCGACACATCCGCATGCCTGAAATGTAGGAAACGGTGTCTCGCGATTGCCTGCCATTTGTTCTGCGCGAGCTCGGTTTCACAAACATCGGGTTCCCAACATAACGTCGCCGTTGACCAACATCGCCGTTAGCGCGGCCCTGGTTCCTACCTTGCGCCCTCCTCCGGGGCCGAGTTACCCCGAGCCCGAGTTACCCCAGATTATTCGGGCGTCCAGAGCCCCAAATCATCAGGGGTATTTCGGGTCAGGGCCAACTCGGGTTTGTTTTAGTTCGTTTTTCGGGAACCCAAACCCGCGTTACCCCCGGCCCGAGTCACCCTGGATATTTCGGGCGCCCAATTCCTCCGCCGCGTCGTCCTCGTCGCCGCTCGTCGCTGCACGGCGCCCGCGGCGCAGCAGCGACGCACGGCGGCAGGCAGCGGAGGGCGGGCGGGGGCACGGCGCGAAGGGGGGATGCGGCGCAGCGCCGCGGGGCCCCCGCGAGGGCAGCAGCGCAGGGCGTCGTCGTCGTTGTCGTCGTCGTCGTCGTCGTCGTCGTCGTCGTCGGAGGCGGAGGGAGGAGGAGGAGGAGGAGGAGGAGGAAGGAGGAGGAGGAGGAGGAGGAGGAGGAAAAGGAGGAGGAGGAGGAGGAGGAGGAGGAGGAGGAGGAGGAGGACGCGCCAGGCTCGTGGGGGGAGGCGGCGGCGGCCGCGCTCAAGCGCCTACAGATCAGGCCCAGCGCGGGCACCCCCAAATGGCAGCGCGGCGGCCCGGCGGCGCCTCTCCGGCGACTACCGCGTGCGCATAGGGAAGGCGCTGGACGACACGGACGAGCTGCGCTGGTGAAGCCACAGGGGCCAGGTGCAGGGGCTGCAGCGCGCCTCAGATCGGCAATGGGGCGTCCCAGCCCTGACAGCCGCTGGGTGCCCGCCGGACGCAGTGCGCGCCTGGGCGCGCCTCGCGCTCCAGGGGGCCTTCCAGGTAGACCGGACTGGCGGCCTCCAGCCGCGTCGGCTCTGCCAGGGCTCCCTGGAGACCGCGACGTAATTACTTCCTGGCCCAACGCGAGGAGGCCGCAGGCTCGCTGGCAGCCTGCAGCACCACAGCAGCGCCCCCCCCCCCCCCCGGCGCAGCCCGAGCGGCGGGCGGTGGAGGCGGCGCTCGCCATTCGCCGCATGGAGCAGCGCTGCCAGCGCTGCGCAGCGTGAGGCGCGCGGGGGGTTGGACATGGGCTCGTGCCGACGGGCGGGGCCGCAGGGCCGAGGGCGGTGCTGGCGGCGTCTCGGGGAGGGCCGCCAGACCGCCCCCAGTACCCTCCGGGAGCCCAGCGTGCCAGGCCCCGACGCGAGGTCGGGCGCCCGTGTGCTGGCCCCCGGCCATGGAGGGTGGCGCCGAGCGGCTGGTTGAGACCCCGCCGGCCGCCCCGGCGATGTTTCAAAGCCCCCGGCCGGCGTGGCCCCGGCAGGGGGGGCTCCGCGGCTGGACCGCGGCGTCCCAACGGGCGCGAAGAAGAAGGAGGGGGGGGGAGGAGGAGGAGGAGGAGGAGGAGGAGGAGGAGGAGGAGGAGGAGGAGGAGGAGGAGGAGGAGGAGGAGGAGGAGGAGGAGGAGGAGGAGGAGGAGGAGGAGGAGGAGGGAGGAGGAGGAGAGGTGGAAGAGGAAAAGGAGGAGGAGGAGGGGGAGGAGGAGAAGGAAAGGGAGGAGAGGGAGGAGGATCAGGAAGGCCGTTTGCGGGAAGTCTATCCCCCGCACTCGCCCCTGGGGGCCGCGACCAGCTGCGCGCGCGCCCTTGGTATGGCTGGCGTCAGAGCGCTGGTTACGATCTGCGGCGCGCGTGCCCTGAGGAGGCGAACGTCTGGGACAGGGTGATCATCCACCTGCGGGGGAACATCTGGGAGACGGTGATTACCCACCCGTCGTCGAATTACAAGCCAGACATCTACAACATCGCCTACAATACCCGCCGACTTCGGGGGCGATTTGCCGACAATCATGCCGAACCCATGTTGAGGAGGGCGAACAGACGCAGCTCTCACGAGAACGGGCTACCTCGTCCGACATTGGCTACAACCGCACCGCAACGACATCATGGCCAGAATAACCACCACCTCTACAACACCAAACGCGCCACCAAGCTCGACGGCAAGTACGACAGCAAGAGGGGCGACTTGAAACTAGCCGCGGGCCTCTTCAAGCCGAGCGAGACCACGATTGCCCCCAAGGGGAGACAGGACAGTGCCGGCTGGGGCGACCTGGTATTCGTTTTGGGAGATAACAGAGCCAGCGTGACCAGCTTCAGCGGCCTCTTGAGCAGATGCGACTACCAGTGCTACGACGACCGCCAGGACTACGACATCCGCCAGAAGTGCCAGTGCTACGACTCCGTGGACAACTACGCCGCCAGGGAATTCTGGTACCAGTTCAGGAAGGCCCAAGTGGCCAAAAAGAAAGAGGACCCGGGAGGCCCGGGAGCCCAGGAGGACAGGAGGTCGCATAAAACAGTTGCACAGCTTCAAGAGCCACCAGCTGAGCTGCGGGGGCCACAAGTTGTGTTTCGGGGGCCGCCGGCACAGCTACGAGTGCCACCAGCTGGGCTACCAAGGCAACCTGCCGTGCCACGAGCACCACCAGCTGAGCTACGAGGACCACCTGCTGAACAACGAGAAACGCCAGGTGAGCCAGGAGGACTAGCTGCAGAGTTACGAGAGCCACCCGCTGAGCTACCCACGCCACCCGCTGAGCAACCAGAGCGACCAGCAGGACTACAAAGGCCAGCTATCCCTTGAGGTACGAAAGCTGGGTTACGAGAGCCACCAGTTGAATTACGAGGGCCACCAGCTGAACTACGGAGACCTCAAGCTGAGCTGCGTAGAACACGTGCAGAGCAGCGACGGGCTCCAGCAGAGCTACCAGCACCACCAGCTGAACTACAAGGTCCACGAGGAATGCGTCGAGAGCCTCCGAAATGCGACGAGAGCAACCAGCTGAACTGCAGAGGCAACACGCCGAGCTACGAGCGCCGCGATCAGGACTCCGAGAACCACCAGCTGAGCCAGGAGGACCACGCGCTGAGCCACGATGACCGCACGCAGTGTTACGACAGCCACGAGTTGAGGTACCGGGACCACTTGGCGATCTACGAAAGCCACCAGTTCAGCTACGAGGACCACTTGCTGAGCTACATACGCCACAAGCAGAGCTACGGGAGCCACCAGTGGGGCTACTAGCGCCATCAGCAGAACTTCCAGAACCACTTGCAGGACTGTGAGCAAGCTGAGCTACAACGGCTACAAGCTGAGTTACGCGGGGCACGAGCTGAGCAGCAAGGGCCTCCAGCAGAACTACAGCACCAGTAGATGAACCACAAGGTCTGCGAGCGGAGCCTCCAGAGCCCCCGGACCACCAACTGATCTACGGGGGCAACATCCCGAGCTACGAGGGCCGCGGTGAGGACTCCGAGAGTCACTGGCTGAGCTACGAGGGCCACGGGAGAAAGACGAGGAGAGCCACCAGGACGAGCCCATTTTCCTCACGGCCAAGGGCTGGACTTCCTCGGGCCATGATCGCCGTGGGGCAGGCAGTCACAAAGGCCTTCGCAATCAGGGCCATTTCCAAACTCACGAACCCCGCGCACAACATGCCCTTCGAAATGATGATGCCCATAAGCATGGGTGTTGGCCGCTTGTTATTTCGAGGGCGGTGACGCCATGGTCCGCGCGCTGGGCCCTTCAGGAGCCATCAGAACTCATGTCCGCCCGCGACCAGCACGAGGCGCACCATAACCCCATACGTATGGACCAGCGACCCATGATTAAACCTTCGCCGCAGATCTTCTACGACGACAGGATAAATATGAAAGCGCCGACGATGACAATGAGAACCACGCGGAACACAGGGCAGTTTGCGAGAGGTGCAACGCTCACCCATTCGAAGACAGGTGGGACGCTGTGTGCACGACCTGGAGGGTGACGACTCTGGGGGGTCATGGCGAGACCAGCCTGCCTGAAGCCGTGGACGGCTACGAATCAATGCAGCGCTACGGCGCTACGGTCAAGAGTACACGTGCACCTAGTGCAATTCAGTTACTGCGTTTACCAAAGTAAATTCCAAAACTAATCAGATTGGAATGGGCTGGATCTGGGATCCGCTCCAGCCACATTAGATTCTTAGGCGGACTGTATGTGCCAACCTGGAAAAACTTCCCACGCCAGGCTATTCGCCTGCGTGGCAGTGCGGGGCGCCGCGGCTCTTATTCGGACACCGGGACAGGCCGACAAGCAGCGCCGCAGGCATCATCACAGGCATGGTGTGCAGTTCCGACAAGGTACCCCGCGTTTTGCACTACCGGCAAGGTGCTACGTCTACGGTATGTACCGCATCTCTGGTTGAGTGGCCCCGCCGCTCCACACACCTCCTCTCCTCCCCCTTCCGCGGCCTCAGAGACATGTGGCTGGCCTGCCTCTCCCCCCTCCCCCTCTCCAGGATGAGTCCGCCGCCGAGTAGGCGTCGCGCCCCGGGGGCGCGCGGTGGGCGCGGGGGCGATCTGGGCGACGCCCGATGGCGTTGCAAGAGATTGAGAGAGAGAGAGAGAGAGAGAGAGAGAGAAAGAAAGAGAGAGAGAGAGAGAAAGAGAGAGAGAGGGAGAGAACGAGAGAGAGAGAGAGAAAGAGAAGGATGACCAGGAGCAGGAGTAGGAACAGGAGGAGGAGTAGGAGCGGGAACATGTGGAGGGTGAGGAGGAGGAGGAGGAGGAGGGGGAGGAGGAGGAGGCGGAGGAGGAGGAGGAGGAGGAGGAGGAGTGGGAGGAGGAGGGAGATGAGGAGGAGGAGGAGGAGGAGGAGGAGGAGGGGGAGGAGGAGGAGTAGTAGCAGGAGGAAGGGGAGGAGGAGGATGAGGAGGAGGAGGAGGAGGAGGGGGAGGAGGAGGAGGGGGAGGAGGACGAGGAGGAGGAGGAGGAGGAGGAGGAGGAGGAGGACTATGCAGGAGCTGCAGGAGGTGGGGCCGTTCCTCCTCATCCTCCTCCTCCTCATCCTCCTCATCCGCATTCTCCTGTTTCTTCTGCTCCCGCTCCTCCTCTTCCTCAATCCCCATCCTCCTCCTGCTCCCCGTCCTCCCCCTAGGAGGAGAAACAGGAGGAGGAGAAGGAGGACAACGAGAAGGAGCAGGAAAGGGAGGTGGAACGTGTGTCCCCAGCTTTGACGCGCGTGTGCGGCGTCGCCCACCGCCGCTGCTTACGGCACGCGCAGTGTTGCCTCGGCGCGCTTGTCGCGCCACCGCTCGGGCTCAGCACATCTGCCACTCCCCCCCTGGGTGGCCGCCTGCCCCACGCGACAACCGACGGCGGGGCAAGGCCGCATGCTCTTCACTGCCTCCTGCACGTTTCCTCTCCCCCTCTTGTCGCGGAAATTCGGGTGTGCTTTTTTGTGGTGGGGGATAGTTTTCTTTTCTGGGGACCTTCCTGCCAGCCCAGGGACTGTTAATAGCAAGACTGTTTCAGGGTGAAAGGCCGCCAGCCCCGGGGAAGGGCTCGAGACCTCGAGGGGGTCGCATCACCAAACTGTAGACTGTCGGCCGACTTCGGGATAACTAAGCGCACCACCAACACCACTCGCAAAGGTGCTGGACAAGCTATGCGGGACGCCAGACGGCCCAAGAGGCGAAAAGTTAGGCCCAAGTCGCCCCGAAGAGGGATCGAAGAGCCCAAGATAGCCTATGAAGATCTCCCAGGCGTTCCCAAGATAGCCTCATGGTGCCCTTCAAAGGAGGGCCGTTTGGGTTGCTCAGCGTCTTTTGGTTCAGAGGCGGTCTCACGATGAATCGTCTTGGGGTCAGCCTTGACAGCCTTGGCGGACTCTTCGCGATTTGCTTCAAGACCTGCTTATTGGGCGTGCCTCGATCAGTGTGGCCAACGCTGCTGTTCTGCACTCAACGTCCGTTAGACTTCCGCTGGACTGGACCCCCAGAGCGTGTGGCCATGGTCGTGCATGCGTTGCTTGTGTTGCGGGAAGCCGGCTTCGCCATTGTAGAGTTTTCGCTCGCACGATGTCATTGGCGATTGCTGTCCAGAGGTGTCGATCCCGAAAAGGGCGTGACACTCACTTCCGCGTCGCCGTGGGTGCACCCCAAGACTCGCAGGGCGGGCCCTTTCCCGAAGCCGTGACTCGGTGCGGGTCGTCCGCGCGCCTCGTCTCCGTCGTCGGCGTCGTCGGCTGCGTCGTGGTCGTGGTGCGTGTTGTTCTGCTCGTGACTCCTTTCCTTACGCAGTGGCCACCACCAGCGCCCCCCGAAGGAGGAGGAAAAGGAGGAGGTAGAAAGCCGAGGAGGAGGAGGAGGAGGAGGAGGAGGAGGAGGAGGGGGAGGCGGGGACTGTGCTCACCCAGGCTGTTTCGCTCAGGTCCAGGACCGCTGAGACCTAACGCCCTTCCTCTCTCCTGCATGTGCATGGTCCGGTGCTGCCTAAACCTTTTTTTCATATTTGAAGTATGGGTGTCGATCCCTTCTAAGACCCTTATCGAGCGAGCGAGTGAGGCGGAGGCGCAAGAGGAGGGGGAGGAGGCGGGGGAGGATGCACACACTTGAGCTGCCCGTGGGCGACCCCATTAGCATGCAGAGGGAGGAGGGGCCTCTCCGAACTCCAGCTTCTTGAAGACGAGCACGATACCAGGATGCCGTACAACACCTCTGCGGGATCTCATCGCACAGCCAATCGCCACGTGGAGGAAGAAACACGAATAATTCAATTCACAACGACAGTTGGTACTGCCATTCACCGTGGGGAGACTAAAGAGCACCACCAACTGACGTAAAGAGGGGGAGGCTCACCCAAGGGAGGGCTCTCTGACAACCCTTCAGGAGACCGCAATCTCGAAAAACAAAAGACAGAACCCAGCTGGGGGAGGATCGCCGTCCCAAGGCTTTCTGACATCCCAAGCAGAGACCTCCCCCAGCGCAAAATAGGAATACCATCATCAGACTGCAGTATAACCGATACTTCGCCAGGCCGACAAGGGAAAACACCTTGCAGCAACACGTCAAGTACTGCCCTGCACACCATTCACTGACCAAAAGACACCAGCAGCCTCCAACAACGTCAACAAGAATGTGATGGCGACGATGGCACTTGGTGCGGGCCATTTCGTAAGACCGCTAGTGCCCATCGGAACATTATCAGTTGCCCCCACCACGCGGGCGGAACCTTTGCTGAACATGTTGTCCCCGTTGCGTTTAGGTACATTTGCGAAGAGCCACATCACCGCCGCGTTGATGCTGACGTAAAGCATCAGGGATTCGTGCGTGAGGCCGTTCGGGAGCCACCGACGAAACTCGATCCCCCCCCATCATTGCTGAGGCACTTTTTTGAGAAGCCGCATCTCCCGAACCTCCACCGCATACTCGAAGTAGTCCCCGTACGAATCAGCATAACCGTCGAGCATCC